GTTGATTCGATTCTACTTCTTTGCCCTTTCAGTGTGTTAACTGGTTTTGAAAATTTAGTATTAATGTTCTGGATTTCTATCTGTAGATTTTGTATCATTTCTAACTTTTCATTTGTTTTGTAATTTTGTTCTTACATTGTCTTTTGAAATTATTCTAGGGTTTTGTCTTTGTTTTCCTTAATTTGTTGGTATTTTCCTTGATCTGTCAATCCTTTGAAGGTACCAAAATATAATTATTTTGAATTCCTTATTAGAGCATTCCAATGCTGGTTCTTCCTCAGAGATGTGTTCTGGGTCTGTATCCTGCTCCCTTATTTCTGCTGTTTTATCTTGTTTCTTTGTGTGGATTGTGATGGTCTGTTGTCTCTGAGACATTGTGACTTTGTCGTATTTGTATTTAATTGGTGATTGTATATTGGAGTGATTTGCCCAAGATTTTAATTTTTTTTTTTCATTTTTTTACTGTATTTGAGGAAGCAGGGTACTGTGCTCCTCTTTTTGCTAATTGGCAGCACTTACGCACTCACCACCTGTCTCTTGGTGTGTAATAGAGAATGAGAGTGGCTGCACAGATCTCTGTTAACTGTTTGTGAAAAGCAGTTAAGGGTGAGTCGAGCTTTTATTGCTTGTTGTGTGTTGGCCAGCTGGTGCAGAAGGCAGTGGTGCCTCTCAGTAAGTGGAGCTTCAGGAGATACGGGTGTGGTTGGGTTTTACGGTTGCTGTCTCCTACTCAGACAAAAACAACAATTAAAGCATTAAAAAAGTAAAAGCAAGAGGACAAAAACACATGCCACATGAACATATAGGAACAATCACCTAAAAGAAAAAAAAGGGGGAAAAAAAGAGGAAAGGAAATAGAGAAAATATTTAAAGAAATACTTTAAAAAGCCAAAAGAAATATGAATAGAAAAAGGGGGAAGAAAAAAAAACCCTGCAATATCTGGGGAGGGGGGAATAAGAGGAAAGAGGTAGAGCAGGAGAAAAATGAAGGAAAAAAAATGAGAATAATGCAAGAGGAAAAAACAAGGAATGGGGAGAACCACAAGAAAGAAAAAAGTGGGAACCAGGAATGTGGAAAAAACTGAAAACTAGAACTTGGGAAGGGAAGAAAAAAGAATAAAAAGGATGAAAAAAAAAATCTTAAAACAGACAAAGTGAACAAAAGAAAAAGAAAAAAAATATCTGGCTGGGGTGCGGCGGGGCAGGGTACCCAGGCTTTGTCAGAACACACAGACTGGGGTAGAATTCCTGCTAGGGAGTGAGGGATAAGCCACACCTCCATTCACCAAGAAAGTGGGGGGTATAAGAATAACAAGGGAAATATTGCACCTTTCCAATTCTGTCTAGAATGTCCTTGCGGTCCCTGGCAGGTGGAGCCTATTCTTAACTCTCTGGAATCTGAGAGAACATTGTTGCTTTAAATATCCAAAATGGTTGAACCACTTGTAAACATTCAAAATGGTTGCTCCCTCCAGATAGGCAAAAGTCCACAGCTTAGGCCGTCTCCCTATTTGCTGCTTCCCCTTTGATTTACCAGCCACCATTGGAGTCCTCCATGCAGGCCCTGGCTAGTATGGCCGAATTTTAGATTAATTCTTAGGTCCTAGCACCATTTGGCAATATCCAAGCTGTCTGGGCCGTCAGGATCACTGACAGACCGCAGCTCTGTATGTCTCCTTTTTTGGTGTTTTTATGCAGGTTCTTCTCCTGGTTGGAGTTTAGTCCACTTCTGTATCCTTCCTCTTGAAGCTTAGGGCTCCAGGATTATCTCTGTATCTCTGTTAATTGGTTCGTTTTTCTTTGTTGAAGAGGGTCTGTGTAGTTTGTCTGCCTAATCTGCCATTTTAGCGGAACTCTTCCCACTATGTGGTTTTGAAAGTTCTTGAGCTTGCTAATCAGCTAGCTTCAGCATTGGAATATGTATTTTATGAACATGTAATAGTGACTAGGGATAGTGAGTAAACCTTATGGCAGTAAATGAAAATGAATGCTAGCAATTTAGGTGCTTTAGGCCATTCATAATGTTTTTAAGACTACCTTCCTAATTTAGCTAGCACCAATTTCGAAACAATATAGATTACTATGTAGGGTTTATCTTATGTGGCTTAATCATGGGTAAGAAAATAAGTCAGGAAGAAGTTAAACATTTCTTTCCATGATAGTTAAACACCTTATTAATTTAGGCATGATTTTCCTTTTGCAATGTTTTTGAAGAAAGCTATTTTAAACAAATAAAAAGGAGCAAAACCCGTTGCCATCCAGTCGATGCCAACTCCTAGTGACTTACAGGGCAGAATAGAATTGCCTTGTAAAGTTTCCTAGGCTGTAACCTTTACAGAAGTAGATTGCCACATCTTTCACAGAGCAGCTGGTAGGTTCAAACTAGACCTTTCCATTAGTAGCTGAGCATTTAACCACTCTGCCAACAACTTCCCTAAAAGTAGTGAGACTGCAGCAAAACTAAACAACTATTTCTGTAAGAGGCATATATATATATATAAAAATTGTGATTTGGGTGAAAATTTACAGAGCAAATTCACTTTCCATACAGCAGTTTACATACACTTTGTCTCATGACATTGACTACAATTTACCCCAATGCAGCAGCTCCCCTCTCACTTCCTCCCCAGTTATCCCCTCCCTGTGTCCTTCCCTCTATGCATTCCTGCTCCCTGAGTTGTCTCATGCCCCCTGAGCTGTCTCCCTGTGCATAAACAGCCCTTTTTTCTCCCATGCTTGTTCTCTCCAAGGAGTGTATCTACTTCAGGTAAATGTTCAACTCATATGCCTGTCATTTGTTTGGTGGGAAGCCACAGGTGTGGGTTCAATTTCAGACCTGAAGGGCAGCTAGGGGCCATAGTCTCAGTGGTTCCACCAGGCTCTATCAGACCAGCAAACTTGGTCCCCTTTTTTTCCAAATGATTTTGAGTTTTGTTCCACATTGTTTTGTTCCACATGGTTCTCCCTCTCTATCCAAGATCTCCTACATAGATCCCCCTCCGAGTGGTTGACAGTGGTAGCTGGGTGCCATCTAGTTCTTCTGGTCTCATAGTCATATAAGCTGCAGATCGCATGGTGTACCAGTTGATAGGACTAAGTGTTTCCATGAATCTTTGGTTTTAAGAGGCATATTTTTAATATATGGATTAACTGACATACTGTTGGTAAGTTATGCTTACAAGTTATTAATAGGGATTCCATAAGGCTACTCTAGTAAGGACTTTTATTAGGTGATACTTTATCCTCGTTTGAATTAAGTGCATTTAAAAATAAATTGATTTCTTTAAAAGCTGTTGGTTTAGGCTTATTATAATTTAGACTTATTTTTAATTTCATTTTAATAACTATTTTAACATTTTGTCCTAACTTAACTTTACCTAATTTACTATAGTGGTTAGTCATTGGCAGTGATACCTAACCAGGTTTCCTGATTTCTAACTTTGCCACTTTATTTCCTGTGACTTTGGTGTATGTGTAAAAAGTACTCTTCAACATTTCATTTGCCAAAGTTAACTGAATCAAAAGTAAAATTGAAAAGCTTTTTTAGTTTTAGAAGATGATTATGTAACTTTCCCCTTTCTTGTAAACACTCGATCTCTTTTTATCCCATGCTCTTGCTGGTATTACAATATATATGTATTTTTTAAACAAAATTTGAAGATAATTTGTAGATAAGATAATATACATTTCATGTTTGAGGATAGCTCACTGAGGGAAACCAAGAATTGAAAGGTTTCTATAGAAAAGATTTCATTGAGTGGATTAATTTTTACAGATTAATATTATCAGTCATGACAGTTCTTTTTTCCTCTCCCTTGCTCCCTAGGATACTTTACTGCAGAAAATGTAATTAGGCTATTGCTACAGTTTTCAGCCTGTCAGCTTCCATTGGAACGGAAATGAAATCTTCTGCATATTAAAAGATGGCCACTTGAGAAAACTCTGCTGTTTCTAAAGCATTTGAAAATTTCCACCGAAAGTCAGACTGTTAGGAATTTCTGAGGTCTCCTGCAATTGTTTGCTTTGACAAATGTTTTCTAATTTTTGAGTGAATGAATTAGCAGTAGGGTATAGCAATGGAAAGAATGTGAGTTTTAGAGTGAGAAGGAGAATTTTTGGTGGCACACTTGCCAGAAGTTGTGCTAGGCACTTCACACCCTGTTCCTTGACTTCCAGATTTGTCTCATACAAGCTTTGTGGTTTTAGGCAAGTTATTCAGTCTCTCTGATTTCCAATTTGTAAAAAGATATGAAAATGTTTCCTTTCCCAACTCACAGAGTTAGATTAAATGAAATAATAGACCCGGAATGTGCTTTGTGAACTAAAAGGTGTTTAATAAGATGATTGATTTTTTTGAAAAATGAAGTAGGATATACCTATCACTTTAAATAGGTGGTAATAAAAGCTGACACTTACTGAGAACTTAACCATTTGCCAGGCATTATGAAGTGCTTTACATAAGTTATTTTATTGAATTCTGTTACTTGTTTGATGAGGTGTACTATTCCATTCATTTTAAATAAGGAGAAACTTAGGAACAGAGAGGTTAAGTAGCTTGCCTAAAGTTACATAAAATTAGTGAGTAGCATAGCTGGCATTCAGACCCTGGCAGTCTGATTCTAGAAGCTATGCTCTTGACCAAACATTCTTTTCTTCTTCTTGTGCCTTTTCGTTTATCCTTTTAACCAGCTAAATATTTTCAAAATAATTTCATTTAAATCTTTCATTATTCGTCTGGATAGAAATGTTGCCAATATTGGCACAAACTGGCCATTTTATAGTTTCTCTTTCTCTTTTATTAATATTTTAACATAATGAGACTTCAGAAAAATACAACTTTGTGTAGAGAAAAACAATCTAAAGTTTTGATAATGTTTTTATTTCTTGTGGCAGCATCTTCATTAGGCATGGAAAGTAAAAACTTTGATAACAGTATATGTAACTATCATTTTGATAAACCCGCTAATGATTGTTTTTCCCCTTCTATCTGTAAGGAAATCTACCACTGTCGAAGACAAATAAAATACAGCAAAGACAAAATGTGGTATTTGGCAAAATTGGTAAGCTATAATACTTTTACTGTGAGATACTTAGAAAAGAAGCTGTGAATATCTCCCTGGGATTGAAAAAAAAAAAAAAATTGCCTTGATTTCTTAAAGAAATGAGGAATATAATTACAAGTTCAGAAAATAGGTAGGTAATCAAACAAGTGATGGTAAGCGATTAATGATTTTACTTAGTTTTTACATTTCTTTTTTTTTTTTCTTGTGATTTGGGTGAAGGTTTACAGAGCAAATTTACTTTCCATCCAGCAGCTTACATATACTTTGTCTCATGTCCTTGACTGCAATTTCCCACAGTGCAACAGCTTCCCTCTCACTTCTTCCCATGGTTACCTCTTCCCTGTGTCCTTCCTTCCCATGCACTCCTGCCCCCAAGCTGTTTCCCTGTGCATATACAGCCCTTCTATTCTCCCATGATTGATCTCTCCAAGGAGTGTATCAATCTATTGTAAATGGTTAGCTCATATACCAGTCTTTTTTGACTGGAAGCTACCAGAGTGGATTCAATTCCAGACCTGAAGGGCAGCTAGGGGCCACAGTGTCAGTGGTTCCATCAGGCTCTATCAGACCAGACTATTTCCACCCCTCTATCCCCCCATTTTTTTATGATCTTCAGTTTTGTTCCACAATTGTTCTCCCACTCTATCCAGGATCTCCTACATAGATCCCCCTCTTGAGTGGTTGACAGTGGTAGCTGGACACCATCTAGTTCTTCTGGTCTCATAGTCATATAGGCTGAGGATTGCATGGTATATCAGTTGTTTGGACTAATTGTTTCCATGCATGTTTGGTTTTCTTCATTCTTCTTTGCTCTGGATGAGGAGAGACCCATCATTGCATCTAGATGGCTGCTTGCAAGCTTTTAAGGTCCCAGTTGCTACTTGCCAAAGTAGGATGTGGAACAATGTTTTTGTGTAGTATGTTATGCCTTTTGAGCTTGATGTCTCCTGTGACTAGGGTCCCTAGCCACAGGTCCAACTACTTGCTCTCTCTGGGTAGCTAGCTGTGGTCAAGAAGTGCCTACAACGTTGTCCCTTGTTAGCTGTACTATATATACCTGGGAATTTTTACACAACATACAAATACACTTGAATTTTTACATTTCTTTTGAGAAACTAAATCACATTGGATAGACAGAGATTTAAAACAAAAACACAAACTTTCAGTAGTATTTGAGGACTTCTGGCTCTGACCAGAGACATCAGAAAGCTTTCTTTTCTATAAAACTTGATTTAACTTGTTTCAGAATGGTTGCTTAAACAGTTTTGTTTATCCTCTCTTGTCTGTCATTCTTTAATTCTAGATACAAGGAATGTCCATTGACCAGGCTTTGGCTCAACTGGAATTCAGTGACAAAAAAGGAGCCCAAGTAATTAAGGAGGTAAACTTGGCAGATTTGTTCGGGGCTAGGGAATTGTGCACATTTGTCTTATAGGTGTACCTCAGTGTGAATCTTGGATTCTCTGAGTTTTCTGGCTATAAAGGCATATTTCATTTGATTTAGGACACTCTTCTAATTAATGCCCTTGTTGTTGTTGTTGTTATGTGCCATCAAGTTGGACCCGACTCATAGCGACCCCTCCTTGGGTTTCCGAGGCAGTATCACTACGGAAGTAGATTGCCCCATCTTCCTTCCGAGGAGTGGCTGGTGGGTTTGAACCACCAGCCTTCTGGTTAGCAGTCAAGTGCCTTAGTCACTGTGCTACCAGAGCTCCCAATTAATGCCCTTATACTTTATGAATATTGTATGCTTTTGGCATTTTTTTTTCTGAGTACTTTTAGTTGCACCACACATTTATTTACTTACTAGTGTCTATGAAATAAGTGAAAGACCTTATTTTTAATATTTTAGGGCTTGGTATAGTTCTTAGAAGTTTTTTTTTTTTTTTTAATCAGTTCTACAAATGAGAGCTTATGATTTTATAACTAGTTAAGTGGAAAGAACACTAGGTTAGGACTCAGTAGAGTTGGAATCTAGTTTTTTCTCTGATATTCCTGTTGTGACCATGGACAAGACACTTAACCTGTCTGGTTCCATTTTTCTCATCTGTAAACAAGTTGTGGTATTGGTTAGATGATCTCTAAAGACCTTTCCAGCTCCAAATGTGACTACTACACTAGGTAGAAATGTGCCAAGCCAGGTGCCTGATCACTCTGAATATAGAAGTGTTCTTGTTTCAAAAATGTGTTGACTATTATTACCCCTTACCATCTGGGGAGATTAGTATCATATTTCTGTCTTCAGTTAATTCTCATCTGTAGTCGTTCTTATCTTTCCATTTAGCGGTTCAGTAGTTGAGATTGATGGGTACAAATTTCTGAGAGATTCCATTGTAATGCCTTACTTTTATTGCATTCAGTTTGATTCAGAATGGAGTTACTAAGGAGCAATTGTGAATCCCATCTTCTACTAGGTTTTTTATCTTGAAAGAGTGAAAGATCTGTTATGACAGTAATTGCCCTGCTTTACAAAGTATGTCTGGGATAAGTTAACTTAATTTGAAACATCTATAGAGTTAAAATTTAACAATTAACTTCTTAGAAGAACATCTTAAGTATGATTTTCTCTCTTTGTCTGTTGCTCTAATGGTTACTTTGGATACAAAGTTTAAGATTTTCAACTAGATTTAGCACTTGAGCTGCTTCAGCTTTTTGATAGGTCTCTGACTCAAAGACATAATGTTAGTTATCAAGTGTACTTACAACTGCAGTTATTTCCCCCATTATGGGTTACATAATCCATTTAAAACTTAAGTAGAATGGACGATGACCCTGCACTTGCAACTCTTCTCTGAGGATGGAAAGTTCACTGTATCCCTTCTCCTTAGTACTGTTATCATTTGATATTTTCTTTTTAAAATTGACTATAAAATGGAAGCATATGATGAGCAGTCATATTATAGAGATAAGAACAAGAAATGAAAAGTTTAATTCCATTATAGTTCAAGTTCAACCCTATGAATGCAGTCATATAACACCTTTGTTTTTCTTGTTTAAGGTTCTTTTAGAAGCACAAGATATGGCAGTGAGAGACCACAATGTGGAATTCAGATCCAATTTGTACATAGGTAAGCTTTTTAATATTTTTAGCTTTGGAAAATATCTTCCATTAATGATACCAGGTTCTTTAATAACAATCTCTGACATGTAACTCCTTTGGACTGGCTTTGCCAGTGAAAATTACTAGTAACAGCTTATTCTTTAGCCTTTAGCATCGGTTATAAATAGTGATAACCATTATGCTTTATTCTTACCTGCTTTGTAATAGAACTGAGATCATGAAACTTATCGGCAATAATTTTTTTTTTAACTTTTTTTGTGATTTGAGTGCAGTTTTACAAAGTAGATTCATCTTACGTTGAGCAGTTCATAAACGTTTTGCGACACTGATTATAATCCCCACAGTGTAACAGCTCTACTTGCACATCCTCCCTGTGGTTACCCTTTTCCTGTGTCTTTCTTGCTTATGCATTTCTGCCTGTCTTACTTTCTCCTGTGCAAATGCTGCCTTTCTGATCTCTCATGGTTGATTGTTCTAAGGCATGCATCTCTCTGGTATAATGGTTCAGCTTGTAGGCCTGTCTATTGTTTGGAAGTGAAGTAAGCCACTGGAGTGAATCCAATTTCAGAAGGGTGATTCAGGGCCATAATCTTGGGGGTTTTACTATTCTCTTTCCTACAAGCAATCCTGGTCTTTTTTATGTTTTTGAATTTTGTTCCACATTTTCTCTCCCATTCTATCTAGGCTCTCCTATTTTGATCCCTTTCTGAGTGGTTGGCATTGGTAACTGGGCACTAGTTCTTTTCGTCTCAAGGTTGTGTAGGCTGGGGTTCCTGTGGTCCATTAGTCCCTTGGACTAATTCTTTTCCATACATCTTTGATTTTCTTCACTCTTTTTTCTGGATGAGGAGAGACCAATAGTTGCATCTTAGATAGCCGATCACAAGCTTTTAAAACCCCAGTTGCTACTCAGTAGAACAGTGTTTTTGTGTACTATGTTATGCCATGTGTACTATGTTTGATGTACCCTGTGATCATGGTCCTGAGCCCATAGGCCCAGCAACTCACTCCCTCATGGTGCTCGGTTGTGGCTAAGAAGTTATTGTAACTCTTTCCTCTGTTATATAATGTATCCGGACGGACGTTTTTATAGTGCATACAAATATGCATGTACGAATTTCATCTGCAAAACCTATGTATGTTGTTGTGTGAGATGCTGTCAAGTTGATCCCAACTCAGTGGTGACCCTATGTACAGCATAGTAAAACACTGCCTGGTCCTGTGGTACCCTCACAATCCTTGCTATGCTTGCGCCCATCATGGTAGCCATTGTTTCATTTCATCTCATTGAATGTCTTCCTCTTTTTTTCTGACTCTTCACTTTACTAAGAATGATATCCTTCTCCAGGGACTAGTCCCTCCTGGCAATATGACCAAAGTAGGTGAGATGAAGTCTGGCCATTCTCTCTTCTAAGGAGCATTCTACTGCACTTTTCCCAGGACAGATTTGTTTGTTTTTCTGGCAGTCCATGGTACTTTCAGTGTTCTTCACCAGCACCACAATTCGGAGGCATCAGTTTTCCTGTGGTCTTCCTTATTCATTGTCCATCTTTCACATCTGCATGAAGCTATTAAAAATACCATTGTTTGAGTTAGAATCACTTTAGTCTTCAGAGTGATATCTTTGCTCCTTAACACCTCAAAGAGATGTTTTGCAGCAGGTTTACAAAGTAAAATACAACATCTGATTTCTTGCCTGCTGCTTCCATGGATGTTGATTGTGAATCTAAGTAAATTTTTGACAACTTCAGTCGTTTCTTCATTTATCATGATGTTGCTTATTGGCCCAGTTGTGAGGATTTTTATTTTCTTTATCTTGAGATGTAATTCATATGAAGGCTGAGTCTTTGATTTTCATCAATAAGTGCTTCAAGTCTTCTTTACATTTAGCAAACAAGGTTTAGTTACGTGCATACTGCAGGTTAATGAATCTTTTTCCAATCCTGATACCATGTTCTTCTTCTTATAGCCAGCTTCTTGGATTATTTGCTCAGCATACAGATTGAATTAGTTTGGTGAAATGATACAACCCGGATGCACATCCTTCCTGATTTTAAACCATGCAGTATCCCCTTGTTCTGTTCAAAAGACAGCCTCTTGGTCTATGTACAGGTTCCTCATGAGCACAATTAAGAGTTCTGGAATTCCCATTCTTTACGATGTTATCCTTAATTTGTTATGATCCACACAGTTGAATGCCTTTGCTTAGTCAATAAAACACAGGTAAATATCTTTCTGGTATTCTTTGCTTTCAGCCAAGATCTGTCTGTCATCAGCAACAATATCCCTCATCCCACATCCTCTTCTGAATCCAGCTTGAATTTCTGGAAGTTTCCTGTGAATTTTCGGCTGCACTGTTTTTAGTTATCTTCAGCAAGATTTTACTTGCATGTGATATTAATGATACTGTTTGAAAATTTCCACATTCTGTTGGATTACCTTTCTTTAAAATGGGCACAACTATCAATCTCTTCTACTTGGTTGGCCAGGTAGCTTCTCCCAAATTTCTTGGTATAAACAAGTCAGTGCCTCCAGTGCTTTATCTGTTTGTTGAAACATCACAATAGGTATTCTGTCAATTCCTGGAACCTAGTTTTTCACCAATTCCTTCAATGCAGTTGGGACTTCTTCCTTCAGTAGCATTGATTCTTGATCATATGTTACCTCTTGAAATGGTTGAACGTTGACCAATTCTTTTTGGCACAGTGACTGTGTGTTCCAGAGAATGCACAGCTTTAAGCTTGAGAAATGCAGAGCATGTCTTTCCTTTTGGTTTTCTAATCCTAGGTCTTTGCACATTTTGTTATAATACTTTACTTTGTCTTCTTGAGCTGCCCTTTGAAATCTTTTGCTCAGCTCTTTTATTTTACCATTTCTTGCATTTGCTAGCTACTTTCTGTTCTAGAGCAACTTTCAGAATCTCTTCTGACATCTATTTTGTTTTTTTCCTAACTTTCCTGTCTTTCAAATGACCTTTTGCTTTCTTCATGTATGATATTCTTGATGTCACCCCACAACTTGTTTGGTCTTCAGTCATTCGTGTTCATTGTATCAAATCTGTTCTTCAGATGGTCTCTAAATTCGGGTGGGATATAATCAAGGTCATATTTTGGCTCTCATGGATTTGTTTGATTTTCTTCAGCTTCAGCTTGAACTTGTATGTAAGCAATTGATAATCTGTTCCACACTCTTCTCCTGGTCTTGTTTTGACTGATGATATTGACCTTCTCCATTGCCTCTTTCCAAAGATGTAGTCATTTTAATTCCTGGGTATTTCTTTCATCTGGTGAAGTCCACGTGTATAGTTGCCATTTATGTTTTTGAAAAAAGTTATTTGCACTGAATAAGTCATTTGTCTTGCAGAATTCTATCATGGGATCTCCAGCGTCATTCCTATCACAAAGGCCATTTTTTACAGCTATTGACAGTTCTTTGTTTCTAACTTGTGGATTCTAATTACCAGTAATTATCAATACATCTTGATTGCATGTTTGGTCAATATCAGCTTACAGAAGTTGCTAAAAATCTTTAATTTCTTCACTTTTTTGCTTTGGTGGTTGGTGTATTGTGATAGTTGGAGCTGTGTGTCAACTTGGCTGGACCCCAGTTCTGTGTGGTTGTTCCCATGATGGGATCAGATGACTGTGTTCTGAGTGGCC